AACAACTGAGCCACCCAGGCGCCCCTGTCATTTATTTTAAAAAGTAGGTCATTTGATCCGTACCATTTTTTTAAAAAGATTTTATTTATTTATTTGAGAGAGAGAGAGCACAAGCAGGGGGAGGGGCAAAGGGAAAGGGAGAAGCAGACTCCCCACTGAGCAGGGACCCTGATGCAGGGTTCGATCCCAAGACCCCAGGATCATGACCTGAGCTGAAGGCAGATGCTTAACCAACTGAGCCACCCAGGTGCCCCCAATCTGTACCATTTCCCACATTCTGGATTTTACTGACTGTAACCCTATAATGTGGTTTAACATGTTCCTCTAGCCTCTAGTTCCTATAAACTAGACCTACAGGCTCGATCAAATTCAGATTCAATTTTTTGGTAAGAACACTTTACTAGTGGTACTGTGTGCTAGGACTTTTATTACGTCACTTCAGGAGGTACATGATGCTTGGCTTGTGATTACTTTGTAAAAAACAACGTAATAAATACCAAAGAAAATTTAGAAAATAAAAAAATAAAATAGAAAACTATTAAAATTTTGAGAAAAGAAAATTCGTCACTCAAATTCCCATCCCTACCGGTCCATTCACAAAAATCTTAGTATCTTCCTGAGATTATTTCATTTACTAATAGAACAAGGAGTTATTGGGCAGCTTCTATACACAAGTACTGCTCCTGGAGATGGAGGTACAGCAGTAGACAAAACAAAGCCTGTCCTCACAGAACTTTCATTCTAGTTGCAGTAAAATAGTTAACTGAGAATTAAACAAGAACATATGGGAATAAGGGCTAAAAATAAAAATAAAGCCCGGTAACAGGGATGGAGAGTGCTCTGTGTGTGCGTGTCGGGGGGTGTATACGGAAAGGCCTCACTGAGGGGACGTTGGCAAACAGTTGCATAATGTGAGGAAATAGGCTGTGCAACAATCCCAGCAGAGGGAGCAGAGAAGGCAGACTGAGCAAGCCCCTGCTGGTGTTTCTGAGAGTCAGCGAGCAGACCATGGGGGAAGCACTAGTAGAAGAGGTCAGACAGGCAGCTGGGAGCCTGAGCAGGTAGGAACCTATAGGCGATTTTAAGTCTTTATCTTTTATTCTGAAAGAGAGCTTCAGCAACGGATTTTTGGTACAGTTCAGCCAGGACATCAAACAGGCCACCTCTGCATGGCAGGAATGTGGGTCTTTTCTTTACGTGTTTCACTTTTTAAAAAGGATCCCAAGAGGGGAGCCTGGGTGGCTCAGTCGTTAAGCGTCTGTCTTCGGCTCGGGTCATGGTCCCAGGGTCCTGGGATCGAGCCCCGCATTGAGCCCCGCATCGGGCTCCCTGCTCCGCAGGAAGCCTGCTTCTCCCTCTCCCGCTCCCCCTGCTTGTGTTCCCTCTCTCACTATGTCTCTCTCTGTCAAATAAATAAATAAATAAATAAATATAATCTTAAAAAAAAAGAAAAAAGGATCCCAAGAAAACCTGGGGGACAATAGCCTCGTTGTGAAAGGTTTGGTAACACAACTCTTATGATCACAGGGCTTCTGACGCAGCACAGGTAACAGAGAGGAAAATACCACAGGAAGTCAGAAGGCCAGGTTTCTACCACCAGTTCTTTTTTATTAGCAGAGTGACCTCAGGCCAAGCCCTCAACCTGAACCCCGGGTTCCTTCTCTGTCACCCACTCTACCACTCTCTTCAGGTTATTGTCAGAATAAAATGAAACGGGGGCGCCTGGGTGGCTCAGTCGGTTAAGCGTCTGCCTTCAGCTCAGGTCATGATCCCAGAGTCCTGGGATGGAGCCCTGCATCGGGCTCCCTGCTCGGCGGGAAGCCTGCTTCTCCCTCTCCC